GATGTTTCACAGATTCATCGTTGTTCTTTAACTTGCGTAGTATCCCATTGTGTGGATATACCATAATTTATTTATCCATCTGCCCATTGATGGGCACCTAGGTTGTTTCCATCTTTTTGCTATTGTGAACAGTGCTGCAGTGAACATGGGTGTGCATATATCTATTCGTGTGACAGCTCTTATTTCTCTAAGATATATTCCAAGGAGCTGGGTAGCTGGATCGTATGGTACATCTATTTCTAGGTTTTTAAGGAAGCACCAAATCGATTTCCAAAGTGATTGGAAATTTTATATTCCCACCAACTGTGTATAAGTGTTCCAGTCTGTCCACAACCTCACCAACATTATGTGGTGATTTTTGGATTAACACTAGCCTTGTTGGGGCGAGATGGTATCTCATTGTAGTTTTGATTTGCATTTCTCTAATGGCTAATGATCGTGAGCATTTCCTCTTGTATCTGTTAGCTGCCTGAATGTCTTCTTTGGTGAAGTGCCTGTTCATATCCTTTGCCCATTTTTTAACTGGGTTATTTGTCTTTTGTTGTTGAGGTTTTGCAGTATCTTGTAGATTTTAGAGATAAGACACTGATCAGATTTGTCATAGCCAAAATTTTTTTCCCAGTCTGTAGGTTGTCTTTTGACTCTTTTGGTGAAGTCTTTTGATGAGCATAAGTGTTTGATTTTTAGGAGCTCCCATTTATCTAGTTTCTCTTCTGAGAGATTTCTGTTTTGTATTACCATACTTAACTGACAAACATTTGCAACTTCTTAAGTAATATGATAAATTTAATAAATTAAAAGTACACAGTGCTAAGTTCTTTTAAATGTTCCAATACTATTTACAAACTTGTTAAAATTTCAACTTAAAAATCACAAAAGTAAAATAATTACCCACTTATAGGTTTTTCTACTGAAATTACAATGTTAATCTTTAAACACGTACAACTTCTAAGGTTTAAAAGTACTTAAAATTACAGTTGTACACATATTTCTAAAGTAGTTAATATTCCAACTATACCCACATTATTTCTAAGTCTTCTATTCTAAAGATGCTTACCCAGAAAGGAAACAGCTATGTCAAGCCACACAGTTTTGGGGTTCCCTTCCCAAAGAAACACTGTAGGATGAGGGGGCTACCATCTGACTCTGGTCATAACTTTCAAGGTCATCCTCCTGGTGACTGAGAGCTCTTTGCAATTAGTACTTTGGTTCTGATACAAGAAAGCAGCCAGAGTGATGAGGGTCAGCACAGACAGAGGGCCTGCATCCTACCCGCATCCTGTAGGTCAGGAGGAAATGCAGAGCAAGGGCTCTAAGCAGAAAGAAGCAGAACAAGAAACAGAAGCAAGCTAAGGTGGAGCATTAACATGGGATCTCGTTCATGACTTAGTACAGGTGCCAGGCACTGTGGATACAGCTGTGAACCTAACAGAGATGGCCCACCTCTGCTCTAACTCACAGATTAAGGCAGAAATCTGCCCTTGTGCCCTGATAAAGCTATCTGCCCTGAGGGTGGAGAGGAAGGGGTGTGCTTGACTGTGCACAGATAATGGTTTGGCAAATTGTGTATAACTCCATCTGAAAGTGTTCAGCCTCACTTATCCCCAGAGGATACTTTCCAAGACCCCTGTGGATGCCTGAAACTATGGATAGTACTTGTCATGGACTGAATTGTGTCCCCCAAAAGTATCTGTCAACTTGGCTAGGACATGATTCCCAGTATTGTGTGATTGTCCACCATTTTGACACCTGATGTGATTTCCCTATGTGTTGTAAATCCTACCTCTATGATGTTAACGAGATGGGATTTAATGGCAGCTATGTTAATCTGGCAGAACTCAATCTACTAGATTGTGTCTTAAGCCAATCCCTTTTGAGATATAAAAGAGAGAAGTGAGCTGAGAGACGTGGGGAACTTATCCCACCAAGAAAGCAGTACCAAGAGCAGAGCCTGTCCTTTGGACCCAGGGTCCCTGCGCTGAGAAGTTCCTAGACTAGGGGAAGATTGATTACAAGCCTCCTAGACTATGGAAGAGTAAATTTCTCTTTGTTAAAGCCATCCACTTATGGTATATCTGTTATAGCAGCACTAGATGACTAAGTACCGAACTCTATGTATACTATGTTTTGTTCTATACATACATACCTATAACAAAGTTTAATTTATAAATTAGGCACAGTAAGAGATCAACAGCTATAATTAATAAAATATAACAATTATAACAATATACTACAAGTTATGTAAATGATGGAGTGGGATGGTGGCACAGTGGTTAAGAACTCGGCTGCTAACCATAAGGTCAGCAGTTCAAATCCACCAGCTATTCCTTGGAAACCCTATGGGGCAGTTCTACTCTGCCCTAAAGTGTCACTATGAGTCAGAATTAACTCCACACCAACAGATTTGGTTTTGTTTTTTCTGTACTCATTTAACATTTTTGGACCACGATTGACCGCAGGTAACTGACCCCAGAACGTGAAACCGTGGATAAGTGGGGACTTCTGTCCCTAAGTGGCACAGTCTGTTTGGGTTTGGCTTGTAACTAAAGGTTGGAGGTTCAACTCACTCAGCAGCACCATGGAAGAAACAGTCCTGGTGATCTGTTTCCCTACGGATTATACCCAAGAAAACTCTGTGGGGCAGTTCTACTCTGTAACACACGGGACCTCCTATCAACACCACAAATCAACAACAAAAACAAACCCAACAACAATAAAATGTGTGTAATTGATTGTAATTGGCTGGCAATTGTAATTGACGTAACGGAAGCACAGCATCCATTAGTCACTTTCAACAACATACCATGACCTAAGGACCAACAGATCCACGGGGTAGTCCACTCAGAAATGTGCAGTTGCTGCCCTGGATCCAGGAGCGGACAGGCAAAATGAGAGAACACGTCACTTACTTGGTAACCGTGAAAATAAAGCACTGACATTTTAAAAATGTGTCCTACATTTAACTGAAATTTTGATTTTTCTCAGACATTTGGATTTGTTCATTATTATTTTAGTTACATTTAAAAAACATTTATATACCAAATAATTTTATAACATTTAACTTATAAGTGGTTATAAGTTACCACGACCTTCTTAGAATTTTAGTATGCTTGGCAAATTAATCAAGAAATTAGCAAGAGGGATGGTCCTCTAGAGAGAAGGACAATTCCATCCCAAGCAAAGCTGTAAACAATTTCTTATAACTGAATTTACAACCATGTTTGTGAAGCCTTGTTTCACAACTTTGATTTTTGTCAGACATGAAATGGAGAGAGCTAAGGACGTCGCAGCCAGGACGTACGGCTCTTTTAAGTAGCTGATAATAGGCAGTCCCTGTAAGACAGTACAGACTTAACCAACGTGAGCCCTACTTTAAGAGTCAGATTGTTTCTTCTACAGCTCCACGAAACCTCTTAAAAATAGCCTGTTTAAAAAATAAACTCCTCAAGTTACTTGTCTTTCTTAGGGTATAACTATTCTTAGCATATTTACTAATATTTTCCTACCGCATAAAAGACAGTAATTTATGAGCATTTTTGTAAGGAACGAATTAAGATCACTGGAGTAATATCTTCTTTTAAAAAGAAGGAAATTTACCTTTTTAGTGTTTCTTTTAAACACTTCTTTTCAACAATAGGCATGTTCTTCCTGTGCGTCTAAGCCCCTATAAAAATATATGTTTAATTTCTTACCTGTGATACATATGGAAAAGTTGTTCATTCAGGAGCCAACTTGAGGTTGTTTAAAAAGAGAGATGGACGGCTATGTGATATATGACTAACAGTAAACACGCCCATACACATCCCTACAGGCTTATGATGCAAGTTGACCAGATAAGAGCCTCCCAAATGACATACCGTTTCTTACTTTAATATCTACAGTGGAGAGAAAAAGCTAAAAAGGTGGAAGAGGAGAAGAAAATTTGGGGTCACAGTAATCCATTAGGCTCTTTAGAACTAGAGGACACCCAGTTAGGATCCTCATGAAAGAAAAGGCAAATTGGCCCAACTATTTAAAACCCTAATGGAATATCTGGCCATATTTAGACAGGCCGATAACAGCCCATGAAAACTTTCTGAAAGAAAAAACGTTTGAGAAACGATTTAGTCAGATAAAAGAGAAAGCTCTTCAATTCCTAATAATAGCTATAAATAAAAGTAAAATCGAGAAGTGAAGACTGTTTTATAGATGCAAGTGACATCTGTAAACATCAATACTTAAACCACTTAGAAATTAAAAACAATTTAAAATGACTGCTCTACTCACAGTTATCCGCCCATCATCAAAGCCTAGGCAAAACCCATATATGTCTATCAAGTATCTGAGTCTACGGGTCTACATTTTTTATTATTGTTAGTTGTCACCAAGTGGTTCGAACTCATGGCAACCTTCTGTATAACATAACAAAACACTGCTGAGTCCTGTGTCAGCTTTGTGATCATGAATATGTTTGAGCCCATTGTTGAGGCTATTAAGTCCTTAAGTGGTACAAAGGATTAATGCGCTCGGCTGCTAACCAAAAGGTTGGAGGCTCCAGTATACTCAGAAGAAAGGCCTGGCAATCTACTTCCAAAAAAAAAGCAGCCACTGAAAACCTTATAGATCGCAGTTTTACTCTGACACATGCGGTTGTCATGAGTTGGAATCCACTCGACAGCATCTGGTATATGTCTATATAGTATTCACTATATGTCATGTAGTATTCACATGAGAAGTATCTATCTATATTTTTTTATTGCTTTAGCATTTTCCAAAAACCGAATTTGACTCCTGAGAAAATATATTTAACAAGTGCTGATTTCTCCTTGTCTGAACTCTGTAAATGTCCTGCTGTTTTGTAAAGTTAATGCAGTTTCCAAAAGTGCATTAAGTTAATTCCCATGATGCTGATTACATTGAGAAGCTGGCTCAACATTTACTGCTCCCACAATGAGTAAGACTAGTTTCCTCTAGTAAACTTAAAAAAAAAAAAAATCTGTGCTGAACAAGGTGTATTTTACACAGTCACGACTTGAGAGGAATGAAAGTATTTCAATCTGTTTGCTGTACTTTAAAATCAGATGTTCAACATCTCGCCTAAAATACAAAGAGAACAAAACACATTTTATTTTGCAAATGTCTTTAACATTTCCAGTAGTTTCCCCTATACATATGGTCTTTATGCTTGTTAAGAACAGTACAGGAGACCCTTCAACTCTTGCATCCATATGCAGCACACATTTTGCCAAATCAAATAATGTTCCCACTGGCTATACAGCATGTAAATTAAGTTTGACTTGAGTGAAAGAGGGAATATACTACAAGAAATGAAATAACACGTTTCAAGATCTGCAAAATATTGCCTAAAAGAGTGATCGGCAGATAAAGTAAAATAGCGTATACATAGCGAGTATTCATCAAATATTTCCTAATTAAATTGAAAGTATTAGTTATATTGACAAAGCCCCCCATTTTGTTTTCGTCTTGGAAGGTTGATTTCAGCTTGGAATGCTACTCAGTACTGTTCTATGCTGGTTATGAAGAAAGGCTGCATTAAAAATTATCCTTCGGCTAGAGAAAGAAAAGAGTATTGAGAACATTGGTCAGGGAGGTGACAGCCCAGTCTTTATATTGAAGTTCTGCTGCCCTGAACTTATGGTCAAGGCTTATGATTTGTGCAAGTTGTTGAACTGAGCTCTAGAAATAAGATATTTTTTGGAAAATATGGCACAATGTCAGTGAACAGCAGCTTCATGGAGAAGGAAAGATTTTCTGGTTCCTATGTAGGAAGGCTTTGGACATGTTATCAGCAGAGACCAGTCCCTGCTGAAGGACATCATTTTTAGTAAAGTACACGGTCAGCAAAAAAGAGGAAGACCCTTAACGAGATGGATTGACACAGTGGCTGCAACAATGGGCTCAGACATAGCAAAGATTGTGGGGATGGCGCAGGACTGGGCCGTGTTCCGTTCCATTGTACATGGGGTCGCTATGATCGGAACTGACTGGATGGCACCTAACAGCAACAGCATGTAGGAAGACGCTCATCTCGTCAGTTTGTCGCACTCTGGTGGCTTACATGTTGCTATCACGCTGGAAGCTATGGCATCAGTATTTCAGATACCAACAGAGCCACTCATGGAGGACAGCTTTCAGCAGAGCTTCTGGACTAAGACTAGGAAGAAAGGCCTAGGATCTACCTCTGAAAATCAGCCAATGAAAACCTTACGGATCATAGCAGAATATTTTCTTTATACAGTGCTGGAAGATGAGTCCCTTAGACCGGAATTCACTCAAATACACAGTGGCTGCAACCATGGACTTGAGCAGACCAATGGTCGTGAAGAGAATGCGAGACCCGGCAACATTTCGTTCTACCCTGTACGGAATCGCCAGGAGTCGGAGCGGACTCTAGGACCACTGCCAACAACCACATGGAGGCACAGGACTTGAGCAGGTCCAATCCGACAACATCCGTTCGGGATCCGGACGTATGAGAGGTTGTCTTCTCTGAGCGAATAAATGAGATTATTATCGATTCTCTCAAACACATTGGCATGCATAAACACAGCAAGGGTTTTTACACAACCTGAGTTTAAGTTAATGTTTCCATTTACCAAAACAAACAAACCAACCCGTTGCCATCAAGTCGATTCTGACTCATAGCGACCCTATAGGACAGAGCAGAATTGTCCCATAGGCTTTCCAAGGAGCAACTCGTGGATTCGAACTGCTGACCTTTCGATTAACAGATTTAGACTCACTTAAAAAATAACTGCAACTAATGTCACTGAACGACTTGTGTAGAAATTGTCAAACGGGAATCTAATTTGCTGTGTAAACGCTCATCGAAAACACATAAAATCTTATTAAAAAAATCATAACACTTTGGTTAAGCTTCTCCTCTTCCCCCAGTCCTTGAGCTTTCCCCCACCCCATGGAAGTCTGAGCCAGCACACCACCCCTCTTTAAGGGCCCACGCCAGGGACTAGGCTGGTCTCAGTATGAAACATCCTGATTTACTATCCGATCATGTCACCCACTCATCCCACTTTCCCACACCTGCATTTTTCCTAGTGGTGTTTACTTGCATCCTCTATAGAAGAAAACGCATTTCCCCTAAACCTTGGAGACACGTGCAGATCTCAAGGCCAAGTGCTCTCCTCACTGTAGCTGTCCCCTCCCCATGTTACCATAGTCCCCTTTCCTTTCTGAATAAAGATCCGCCCTATCAAAATAACAATCATAACTGCTCTGCATCGATTTTTTAAATAACTAGCATTTGTTTGAAATCAAATGTCTTAAAAATAAGGATTCTTTTTTATCATTACTATTACAGAACTATGATGCTCGGCAGTGGTTTTGTAATAAGCAGATACCTGAGGGAAAAAAATCACCGACAGTAGAAAGTTGTTCCAGAGTATATTACTATATTTAACTCATGTATTTTTGTTTGAGTAAACCTTGTAATATTTTACATCAGCCACCTTATCTTTCAAAGATTACTCTTTAGGGACAGTGAAAGCTGTATGTAAATCATTTCGAAATAATAAAAGATACTGGTGACACAAACAGGCTGTTTTATTAGAAAGAGCCGGCTGCTAAGTTTCTTACAAAACACCATCTCCTGAATTTTAAAAAGAAGGAGAAACATTCACAGAGCAATGGACTCACAGCGATTCCAGGAATTAACGGGTGGGGGAGGAGAGAGCAATTTTAAGCCTGTTTCAAACGTAAGCTTATTTGGCCCATCAACTAACTGTCAGACCAAGCTCCTCCTTGACAGCATTTTCGAGTGTGTGATTTGAATACCATTTCGTGAGAGGAAAACAAATTACAGCTGGGGATGTATGACTTCCAAGGACACAGCTCTGGGCCTTAATATGCAACAACACTAATGCCTCCTGCAGACTTCTTAAATACAAAATTTTTACTAAATAAATTACTGGCTATCTTTAAAACTTTTATTTAACACGTAAAAAGCAGCTAAACCTTCTGAAATGTCTCATACAGAATTCCTCATTTAGAGACCAAGAGAAACAGAGGTTCATACAGTCCAGTCATAACAGACAACAAACACAAGCACATCAGGGACCCTTGAGAAGACATGTGGCTGGTGGATTTCTCCACTATGCAAAACTGAATTCTGCACAATAAAATATAAGTATAGAGTGAGCAGCCATCTAAGATACTCCACTGGGCTCACCCATTCAGGAGCAAGGGAGAATGAAGAGAACAGGATACAAGGAAAAGATTAGTCCAAAGGACTAACGGACCACAGCTACCAAGGCCTCCACAAGGCTGAGTCCAGTACAGCTAGACGGTGCCCGGCTACCACCACTGACTGCTCTGACCAGGATCACAACAGAGGGTCCTGGACAGAGCTGGAGCAGGATGTAGAACAAAATTCTAACGCACACAAAAAAGACCAGATTTGCTGGCCTGAAGGAGACTGGAGAAACTCCAAGAGTAGGGCCCCCAGACACCCTTTTAGCTCAGTGGTGAAGTCACTTCCGAAGTTCACCATTTAGCCAGGGATTGGACAGCCCCATAAAACCAAATGGGACTAATGAAGCACAGCAGTCCAGGGACCAGGACTAGAAGGCAGAAGGAGACAGGAAAGCTGGTGATAGGGAACCCAAGGTGGAGCAACGACAATGTTGACGTGTAGTGGGGTTGTTAACCATTGTCATAGGGCAACATGTGTACTAACTGTTTAATGAGAAATTATTTTGTTCTGTAAACCTTCATCTAAAGCGAGAATAGCAGCACCACTGGAAGAACGTAATCAATGTCACTGAACTGTGCATGTAGAAATTTTTGAAATGGTGCATCTTTGGCTATGTAAATTTTCACCAAAAAAAGAAAGGTTGAGAAGGGAGATGGTTGACATGTCATGGGGTTGTTAACCAATGTCATAAAACAATATGTGTACTACTGTTTAATGAGAAACTATTTGTTCTGTAAACCTTCACCTAAAGTACAGTAAAAAAAAAAAAATTTTTTTTTTAAATATAAGTATAGACAAAAGAAAAATGTCATTTCTATCCTTTCTTGTTATCATACTTCTCTCCTCTGGCATGCTAACATGCTAATGTCCACACTGAACTTAAACACAGGTTTGATATATTATGTGCATTTTTGCGTGTTGGAGAAATTCCATTTATTCAACAAATATTCATTCAGTAGCCACTATGTCCTAACAGAGTACTAGACTTTTTGGATACAGAAATGAACAAGACGTAATTCCTGGCCACAAGAAGTTGACAGTCTACTGGGTGACAATATAAGCCAACAATGGAAAATGCTATAATAGAGTTAATAATAATTGTTGCCACATACTGAGTTAAGAACAGTATATTAACAACTTCATCTAATCATCACATTATTGTCATTTCATACGTGATGAATCTGGGGCTCTGCGAGAAGTTAACTAATGGCCAAGAACACTCAGCTAAGAAGAGGAAGAGGCACAATTTGAACCCAGGCCCCCTGACATGAAAGTCTATACCGTAAACCTGTATGTCATAGCTCTTCAAAGAACCAGGGAAACACAAAGAAAGGACCTCACAGAGGGTAAGAAAGTAGGCGAGGAAAGAGAAAGGTCTTAAAGAAGATCTTTCCATTTAGATGAGTCTGAAAAAAAATAAGTTAGTCAAGACCTGAGCAGTTTCAATATAAATTCTTTAGAAAAATAAGTTAAGCAGCCAAAGCCAACGTTGGAATCGTCCTAGGCTCATGTAGCTACCTAAAGAAACTGTAAAGACGTTCTCAGTAACGACAATCACTTTCACTCTTTCTAGTGAATGAAGAAAAGTAGTACAGCAAACTGAAGAAAATCAGGAATGCCCCACATTGGAAACGTCTGTAAAAGGCAAGCACTTGTTAACAAGAAACAGTGCTGAGAGGGAAAAAGTCCTTCAGGGTTGTCAACTGGACCTCTGCAAAAGCGCTCGGCAGGAATGGCAAAAGCAGATCTCATCTGACAGCACAGCCAAGGGGGCCTGCTCTGAGGGAACATGAGGTCTAAGGAGCACATTTCCAGATCAACTGAAAGTAGAGAAAAATTTTACAAATTAGTCCATCTTCTCGATATC